CTGCAGAAACCCCTTCTTCCTATTCTTCAGTATGAGAATATGGACGGCATAGTTGGAATGCTATCTTATTATCCATTTGAAAGAAAAACTCTCGGATGGTAGCCCCACATATTCAGGTAGATTATTGTAAATTTTTGGACCAATGTATTCTGGCCCCAGAATAAGTCACTTTTAATTTTGTAATTGATACATGGAATTAAATTTTTGATTCTTCTATCGCGGTGAATAATCTTTTTTAATATAAAATTTGGCTATTTTTTCAAACATATAAATACTCACATTTCAAGTATTAAGACTGATGCTGGAGTTAAAATATTATATGTTTTCAAATACTGTCTACAAGAATGTCTTTGGGAAATATTTACCATGCATTGTACGATACGCTTTTCTACAACAAATACATTTTGTGCTGAAGTTGACCCTCCCCAGAAACAAACACCATACGTCATTCAAGAGTCTACACAAGCATAGTAAGATACCAAATAACTGAGCTCTAGTCAATAATGATTTGAACTCTTGTAAACCACTATTTAAAAAATTTAGCATCTTTCCATTGCCGTGCCTCTACATATTACAGCTAGTGTTATTCATCTATGATAATAAACAGCTATATTCAAAAAAACTCTAATATACATAGTTACGCTACTTGGGGTGGAGATACTTTATACCACCCCTACTCTCGCTTGATTGTGAGTTAGAATTCCCCAAAATACTTGGGTATCAAATGCTTCAATAAAATAATAACTTTTATAGGGACCAATAAAAGTAGAACTGTAATGATTAATGAACTGTATGGTTTCTTGTTGGATAACTGCTTCTACAGTATGGATGAATTTCTTGCTTTCAGTGCTTAGATAAATGACAGTTTCTTTTATACATGTACTCTTTTTTAAATTTAATCAAGATCAAACATTTGTGTTTAGCTTTTAGCGTTTTACTTTTTCGACTAGTCCAATAAGTTTTCTCATGTATTTAATCTTGTAATTGTGTATGTGTGAAAATTTTAGTGATGAATAAAACTATTTCTATTTCTATAAATACCTAAAATTCGATACTACTACCAACGCTTTTCAAAGATATATCATTTACAATTAACTGAGATTTTAAATTTTTTTCTGGCACTTGTCAATATGATAAACCTGTGTTTCATCGGTGTTGAAAATAAACCAGATACCTGATTCATTCATCTTCTAAAATTGCAAATCAGATGCAGAGACAATGAATGGAAAATCATAAGCATAGACTGTTTAACTTCTGTCTTCAATATAAAGTCAATGCTATTCATACAGAGAATAAACATAATAGGACCTTATGTGGAGCCCATTGTCATGTTCCTATGTTAAGAGTTTTTAAAGGTACTATTATTATTTGTCATTTGCAATGACACAAATTGATCCCGGTTCTGGAGAAATGAATTCATTCAACTGAGTGAAACACCTCATATACCAAAATATTCCAATTTTCAAGACAGTTTTTCATGTTGACAGTCGAATGCACAGCTCAAATCACTGCCGGACAATAACCTGCATCAATATTCGTGATTATTTGATTTATTAATGAAAACATTGCTGCATCAGTAGACTTTTATTGACAAAATCCATGTTGCTCTTGGTTTAAAATGGATGATTATTTAAAAATGAATGAAGTCTATCCAAAAAAGAGATTTGACAGACGTTGTGATAGCACAAACCCTTGCAAAATTAATTAAAATGTTTCTTTCCCAACACCATTTTAATAACGTTGAGGAAAATATTGACGTGGCAGGGTCTTCAACTTGTGAAGAACCTCATTAAATCCTCAGTTCATTAGTTTTTTATTTATGCTTTTAATTAACGTATACTCCTTACTTTCTTTTTGGTAAGTGATTTTATCTTTGTAACTCTGAACAAGGATTAATGTATTAGTGACTTGCCACTAGTGTATGCAAAATGGTAAAATACCTCGGATATATTAAAGAGGCTGTTCATTCATGTCAGTGGAATGTCAGAACCACCCGTCAAAGATGGCTTTTCTGTATGCAAAATCATCGAACCCATTATGGACATACTGCTTTTACTACAAAGAAACTATACTGAAAACGTCTCATTCCTTGACATCACACATTCAACTTTTGCCCATTTCAAAAACCAAGCTATTCGAAAGACCAATTACTTTTGATACTTTCAAGTTGCTCCAGTTGCTAGCTTTAATTTGTTTTGTTTTGCTTTGTGCTTTTTTTTTCTGTTTTTACATTCTCTATTTTTTATTGACATTGTTGAATAAATAAAGTACTCTACTCTATAAGAAAGTAGGAATCCATATTTTACACATGCTAATAATCAATTCATACTATTTATTGCAAAAAATAGTGGAAACTCGCGCATGCCTTTTTATGATTTCCGCCTTCACATTATAATAATAATAATAATGATAATAATGCTGCCAACAATTAGGATAGGTGTGGAGCCTAATTCACGGGCAAATGCTGAACACGTTTTGGAGAAGAACGCTTTCACCAGAGCAAGAAAAGTTTCACACTGGCGCTGTGTAATGTGCTACAAACAGAAAAAAAGAAGAGACTCCGCATATTGTCCATCACAACCTGCTCTATGTGTGACCGGTATCTTGTTTTTAAAGTATCATGAAGCTGTATAATTCACATTTCATTTTTTATGTATTGTTTATAATTTTCATATATAACCTTCATTAGTTCAATGTTTGTGTGAAATAATAACGTGTTCTAATTAAACGACGCCCAAGAACATCACGAGCATCTAAATGCAACTTTTTATTTATACCTAGTGTGCATGACATGACGCCTTCAAACATGTCATGATATATTTTTTCAAAAAGCATATCTTTGAACCATTTACAGCAATAATTTGATGAAACCGATAAGAGATCCATGAAAATATAAGGTAGCCACCAGATAAAGGTACATTGCTGTATATAAATATAAAATTATATTGGACATTCCTAACTTTACTCTGGCTCATAGATATTACTTTAATGCACAAAATAATCAATGGTATCATTAATTCACCGGAACTTTTTGAACTTATAACTTTAAATGTGAATCCAAAGAGAACAAGAAATAAAGAAATCTTCACAGTACCCTTTTATCATACCAACTACAAGTCTTAGGTAGAATTTTTAGACTTGCAAACACAATGTGAATTCAAAGAACTTTTTAATTCTTCTTTGTAATCATTTGATTACAAAGCCAAAGCCTTCGATTGTGTAGACCACATACTGCTTCTTCGCAAGCTGGAAGTTTACGGATTTAGAGGATCGGCATTACTTTGGTTTGAGACGTACCTTTCTCATCGGCGGCAGAATGTTCTATTAGATGGAATTTCATCAGAGGAACGCTTCATTGACAGTAGGGTTCCACAAGGTTCCGTTTTGGGACCGGTGTTGTTTCTCATTTATGTCAATGACTTGGTCCATGTTAACATAAGTGGTAAATTCACATGTTTCACACCACTATCCTCTGGCATAGCAATACAGCCTCCAATTTACTTGATCAAATCATCGTCGACATAAGAACGGTTAAAGAGTGGTGTGATTCCAATCTCTTATCATTGAACATCGATAAAACAAAGGTGATCACGTTTAGATGTAACATAGGGGAAGTACACTTGGAAAATGTAATAATTGAAAATTTGGAGAAAAACAAATTTTTAGGGCTCTTCATTGATGAAAATCTAAAATTTGATTTCTATGTCGACTACTTATGTAAAAGACTAGCAGCAGGATGTCATGCAGTGAGAGTTGTTGCAAGAGAGTTAGACACTACTATCACAAGATCAGTTTATTTTGCACAAATTGAATCCTATTTACATTATGAAATTTGTTTCTGGGAAAATTGTGCAAAATTTCGTTTCAATATGGTATTCTCTCTACAAAAAAGAGCCATCAGATATTTATGCAAGGCTAGCTACAGGGATTCATGCCGCCCATTATTTGTGAAGCAAAAAATGCTGACCTTATATGTCTTTTTATTTTGGAAACAGTGTGTCATATCTACAAAAAATATAAAAATCAATTTAGGAACACCGCAACTTATAGTACACGTCAGTCTTACTCCGTTTCCCTTCCCACACCTTCTCTAGCCCTTACACAAAATTCTATTATTTTCAATAGCAAGAAGTTATTTAACCACCTTCCCTTGTTGGGAGGCCCTATTATAGTGTGGACGGATTCTACCAAGGCTCTATCGAATAATTGACATGTAGCTTTGTGTAAACAAGTTATTGAAACCAACACAAAATGGCTATCAATGTTCATAATGTAGAATTATATATTTACGTTTACTTAATATTCATAAATTCATGTACTTATATTTGTAGCTGTTCAGCTGGACTTGATATTGTTCTGTCCATATACTCTGCTCCGGTGTTTAAGCGTTATTTTATAGTTTATATTTGTTAATTGTCCCTTATACATGTTTTACTTTACTAGACTTTGCCAATAAGATGTTTATATCTTGGGTAATAAAGCATATTTTGATTTGATTTGACTAATTGATTGGCTTACTTTGGCATTTCTTTTTTTATATTCTTTCCTTACATCTAGCTGATAGTTATAGTACATATGTGTGAATTTGTTTATTGTTTTGTAAAAATAGGCAATGCCGTAAATAAAAAAATTAAATGAAAATTCATCAGCAGTGAATGGGTTGAATATGTTGAGAATCCCAAGAACACAGAATGTAAGTTTTTAGAAAGTCTCTCAATTATGTCATCATATTTCATGACAAAACACCAGATGGGGTGAAAGTAGCAAAGTGATGAAATCTTCCGAAATAAAGTAATAGGGATGCTATTACAGTTACATCGTCGAATAAACACTATTATTATTACAATAGGAACGGCCATGCAAATCAATACCACATAAACTGAAGAATAAACCTGGAAATCAAGGAATGAAACACAAAAATGAGAACGAACCATCAGAAACATTCACCTTTCAGCAAAAACCCCTCAGCTGCCGCTGTAAACTAAAAAACAATAAAGTACCTTCCAGTTCGCCTCGCCTCGACAAACTCTTGATAAGCTTTGGCAAGATATTCAGCTTCAGACGTTCTACGTCCACCGGGGTGATGAGCAGCAGCCCTAATATTTCCTTCACAAGATCCCAATTGCCGGTCTGCACAGCTTCCTGTAACCAAGTCTGGATCAGGGCCCATCCTCCCTCCGCCATAAACATATCGACCAGTTCAATTTCCGTACTTTTTAAAATCAGAACGTACACGCATTTGCTGACTAATTTTTTTGAGAATTTAGTCATTAGGCTGCAAGTAAAAGTTTTCATGATGAAGGGGGAAGATATAGGAAGTTGAATACTCACTTGACTAGGCGTACGACTTCGTCCCTGGATAAAATGCCGCCCTCTGGGGTCAGAAGTATCGAAAGGCACCCCAACAGCTTCAACGGATCAATTCTGGGCTGTAACAAAATAAATTGGTTAGTGAAAGTTTCAAAACTGCAGGTTGGTGGGGGTCTCATTTGTACCAGAATTCCTTTTTAACTGGCCAACATTTATTTTTATTTATTGAAACTGACATTTATATATAGTTCAGGAAAAGTTATAGCCCAGGAAAATTTGGAGGAACATGTCAAGACTTGCAATCAAGAACTATTGATTTCAATTTGAAAATTAGGTTTCCAATCATTCAATTTTAGCCAGGAATTCTGCCACTTTACACCAACTCCTATAATATCAACCTACTCCAAACTATAATACGTTTCATTATTCGATATTTCGAAGGTTCATCATTTCCACATAAGAATACTGGAGGATTTCAAGTAGATTAAATGATTTGAAGAAACATTTACATAAATCCATAACTTTTTTCAGTCCATTTTAGTGTATTTTCATTATTTCTGTGGTTCACATCAAAATATACTTTTAAACATTTGTATCTTACAAAGAAAAAGAAAAGAAAACGAATGTAATGATATCGTGTCAAAAAAATAAAATAGAAAAAGTATGATGAAAGCAATTCTGATTAAAAATAAAGAATATAAATAGTATTAAAGATTTTTGAATACAATCTTGTACACTATTCAATTCAATTTATTCATTGGTTTTACAGATTACAGTGAAAGTAATATAAAACACGTCACAAATTACATATAAGTAGACATTTCACATTTGAAACTGACAATTTTAAAAATATATATTATTGAATGAAAATATTCAATTAGCTGGAATAAAATTTTTCAGTATTATAAAACATTTTCGACAACAGAAAAGTTTTGAGACGGTTTCTGAATTTGAAGTCTGTACATTCCTTTTTAATTGATTCGGGGAGCTTATTGTAAATTCTTACACCATCAGAGATAGGTCCCCTGAGAGTTACATTAAAATTATTTCAAGTGTTTTAAGATGGTGGTTAATCTGGTTGAGTAACTGATCATTACTATTGAGTGCAAATTATTTTTTTATTTTTAAATATGTAACAAGATATTTCTAGAATATACAAGCAAAAGAGAGAATTTTCAGATTGGCAAATATTAGTCTGCATGATTCTCTCAGACTTTTATTCAATAAAGTTCTAAGACATTTTTTCTGCAGTACAAATAATTTCTCAGCCATAAGATTCCATATGCGAGTCGTGACTGAATTTCAGCATAATACATTTTTTTTAGTACGGACAAGTTGAGAACTCTTCGTAGGCATTTCAGTAGGTATATTTTGCTGTTTAGTTTGGACAATGTTTCGCTGATATGAAATTTCCAATTTAATGTGTCATTCATAATTATGCCTAAAAATTTTATGTTTTCGCATTGTTTTACTTTTACTTCTCCCATTTTAATTTCTGTTTTCAATTCTCTTTAGTCTAGAGTGAAATATTGAAAAATGTGTTTTACCAGAATTGACTTAATTCTGGTCATTAAATCACTACACTTTTGTCTATCAGGGTCTATCAGCTGACATACTCTTCACTGTATTGTTTCATAATGAATGTTGTAATAGACATAATTTTGTTCGTAAACAAAACTTCCAATTCAATAATAATAGTTGATAATTTACACGACTTCATTTCTCTAGCATATAAGATAAATTCAAAGAAAACTTGCGGCTGAAAAATCTACCAACTGTTCCAAACTGAACATCATGTTAATATTGAAAGTTCTTTGACTTTTTGGAATTCCCACCTTCCATAATCTGATGAAAATAAATATTATAATGTAAAAATTTATACAAGTATAGCAAGAGTACACGTTCTTCTTGATAAGTTATCTAGATATTAGCCCATTTTTATGGGCAAAGCTATTAGATGTGATAATTAATGATAAACTGTCAGTGTTTAAAAAAAAATACATTGAATCCAAGTAATGTATCGGGTTCAACCTTTCTATACCCACACAAAGTTCTTCCCTATAAAATATATATTCTCAGATAACTTTAGCAATATAGGCGTATTTCAACTACTCAAACTGATATATCAAGGTAGATTTTTGACACTTAATTTTTTTCATCACTTTCTTCTACTTCAGTGTGGAAATAAAATGGGAAAGTTGTTTTGGAACCTTCAATGCTGTCCCTATCCTATTTGCCACTTTTTGTCTTTTCTGTCAAATGTAGTTTACTTTCAATTCATACAAGCTCTTTAGTAATATCAACAAATTGAAAAATTAATTGAGGAAATTTCTGGTTAGCAAATGTTACCGAGGTAAAAGAATTTTTAAATTAATATTTATGAATTCAGATGATAATAAATATTTTAAATGGTCCAAGCATCCATTATTATTTACTTTCCAATTTATTTATACAATTCCCAAGTGTTTCTGTATTATTACCAGGGAATATAGCTCAACTCAAATTGTCATTGTATAATATAATTTCATGTAAAGTTTTCGAGAGATACAATTGATAAATTATTTGTGTTAATTGTACTACTAGTATATTGACTTTACATTATTTGTCCATTGATAATGTATGATAATTTGGTAGTGATGTATCAGAAAAACGGTGAATTCTCTTCAATTGAAATTCTCTGAAGAAATGATGTTAGAAAACAAATATGAAAGAAAAAAATAGTTGACAGTAATTTGAATACATCCATTTCATTCACAATCCAATTATGATGATTTGTCTGCTACTGCAGAAGACATTATCCTAGCAGACAAAATGTCAGAAATAGAAACCTGCAGACCACTGCTAATAATCCCGAAAACACCTGATAATTCGCGATTTCCTATAGTTGGTTTTCTGAAAATTTCTGACATTTAAATAATCAGAAGAATCAACATATCTTCTCTCTTGGTCATTCTTTTTGGATTTCAATGAGCTACATTTCCTTCAATTCTTTAAGGAACCTAGTTTTTGACTTCACACGATTTGCTTTCTTGTTTGACGTAACAAAAGCCCAAGTATTTTGGACCACTAAGGCACTTTACTGTTCTTTTTTATTGATTGGCACAACCTTTTTTGCTGCTCCTAGTCCCAGCTCTTGTAGCACACCTTTTACAGCAGAGCAGTCAGTTGCTCCTTTCTGTGGTAGTTTGATATGTTCGTTCATCTTCAAATCATTATATTCAGTCTCTTGGGATTTTAAAAATGCAACTGAATGATCCAGATACTCATTTCTTGACCCATTATCCAATATTTAGCAAAAATCTTGATTTCATCACTGATTTATAGTTGTTGCCAAGTGTTGATAAATGTAGGTCACACCTAATTACAAATAACACTCTTTAATGAAGCTGTCCGAAGTTTTATTTCTATTCAGAATTGCTCTACCATTACTATACATTTAGTGAAAGAACTTGTCTTTTATACACATCCCTATTTCATACAAAATAAGACTATGATTATTTGATGACGCAAGTTCATCAGCGCCATTTTCCTTTACAATATTGGGCGTGGACCAAATATAGAAACTCAATATTTCACTTTTTGTGATTGCTAATTAATAATAAAAATACAAGTCATTTCGAAAAGAAACACATTTTTTCTAGATACTCACAAAACCTCACCAAATTCGATTGAATTACCAGAAATACCTTTCTTTGTGTGGAAATGTTGGAAAACCTCGTAATTTAGTACCGTATGGGTACCAGGAACATCGAAATAGCGAATATTGAAAAAATGGAAGCCATATTTGATGATGCGAGTTATGAACTCCTTACCATTTTTAATTTTTAGAATTCCTACTATAACGTAAACGTACGTAGCACTTGAAATGTTCACTCAGTCTCAGTTCTAAAAAGATATTTCACGCGATTCACCTAATATCGGAGACGCCATATGGCAAGCCAACGCCCTAAGACTTCCATATTGGCAAAACAAGTATATATCTTGACGCTAAATACCAAAACAAATAAAATTTTGTTAAGAAATACGTATTGTTGCGTAAATTTGAATTTGCAAATGATTATTATATAGACTAACTATTGAAAAATATCATTTACAACTTTTCAACACGAGAACGTACTTTACGTTTCAACCTCTAAGCGGAAATGAATTAAATGACAAGAGAATCAATATTTGTCGCATACGAGAAAGCGACGAATAAGAAAGGAATCCGGAAATCATCACTGCGCATGTCGTTTAGCCTCAATTCGAGAACGATTTTGTGAAGATGATAGATACTGGAGACCTGTTAGCAATTTCGATACAATATAATTTTTATCTTTCCTTGTGTATATTTTTGTATTGAAATTTCGCAAAATCACGAATGAAAGTACGTCGTATGACTATTTCTTACCGGAAACGGTTCACCACAAAACGTATATTACTATATATTCTGTGGCACAGAATCTCAAAGGCACAGAAATCCTTTGTTGAGTTTTGTGAGAGCAAGATGAATATAATATCGGAATAACTCTGGTGTGAGCACTTTCGAAGTACAGAACTCTTGATGAAAAAATAATGAAGCGATCCAATACATTTTAGAACTGCATTCCGAAGTACTGAGTAGTCGAGTACTATTCTAAGACGTAAATATAATTATTCTTTTATGAAGTTACCTATCCCAATCACATCCAATTCATTCATTTCAACGTTCTATGTAACTATAACGATAAACTCAAACTAGAAATGAAATGTTGTTATTTTTGAAAATATCTTCAGAATCGGGAGAGTCGTACGAATAGCTAACCTTAAAAAAATTAAATGAAAAATTACAGCTTATCAAATTCCAAATAATTTACTTTGTCCAGATAGAATATGGCGTAATTTATGCGCAACAATACTTTTTTTATTCGTTTCGCTTTTATAAGTTGATTGAATCAGAATTTGGACTACTTGTATATTATTCGATTCTGCTAGTCTGTTTATGTCATTAGTGTCAGTTGTCAAATAAACGGTTCACGCCATTACTTCAATTCTCTGAGCTCCAACTGAATATTTGGAATATTGATGGAAGTGAATGAAATAAAAACAGCAAATGAAATTCAAAAATAAACAATATCATAACTGACAAAACATTGAAAATAACTTTTAAACAGCAGATGAATCTCGAAAATAGACAATACCAACATTACGCACTGTTGACATTGATGACAAATAGAATATAGCCAACATAGAAAAAATACACGTGCTTCAAACGAGATTATAATTCGATATGATCTATGATGTGAACTATTCGTAACAACATTTCCATTTTCTATGATATCAAATTGTGTTAGAATTGAAAAACGCCAAAAAGCTCTATCCGAACAGAGTCAAATAATTTAAAAATGAGAAGCAGTAATTTTTCATGTAATTACAAGGTTGGCAATTCGTGCGATTTTTCCCCATTGAAATTTTGACATTTGGCCGTAGATTACATACAACCACAGAACTATAACTTATTTATATGCACAGAACTATCAACGATTATGGGTACCGTCCTTAGATTAGGTAAGGTACCGTCCATAATCATTGCAGAACTATAATGTATTTATAGTTCTGTGTATATAACCGAAGATCCATAGAAACTCTGATGTTAAACCGATTCGTTGTTTTGTCAAAATCCCTCGACGTGAGAAATGAGAATGACCCAACTTTGTTGACATGTTGGTAGATGGAACGAAACCGTTTCCAAATAAAACTATTGGTGTACACTTAGCGACTCTGAATAGAATGACGAAGTGTGTTTAATGTATCTATTTAATGAAGAATCAAGAGTGCTGTAAATCGAATGGCATTCAGCAAAAGATGAAGCATTTGATATGATATGATTGTCACGTCTATTATAATAAGGAATGTTGAAAATACAATTTCAGGATTATTTTCGGTTAAATGAATTATCAACATAACAGAGGAATGATGATTATATTTTTGAAACTTGTGAATTCAAAAAATATATTTGATAGACTCATTATGACAATTTACATTATGTTTGACAGTTAATGTAGGCGAGTTTTTGAATTTATATATAAGTCCACCGATTGATCCGATATGCGCCTACCTTAAATTCGTAGTCAGTATACTATGTAAACAAATCTCAGTTTATTATGTGAAATATTTCATTAAAAACTCTCGACCTAGGGAACTCTTGATATCATAACCACAGGAGCCAAGTTTCTACTGACACTAGACAGTCCTGGTTGTACTGGATTTTAGTTTGGTGGTCGGAGTCACGAAGCTATATATTTTTTTACAAACGAACGAACTCTTGCCACCTGTATAATCTTGAAATTGTTGGAAGCTCAAAAATACTCCTTTTATTCTATTGGATAATCAAATATCGTACGTTACAATTTTCGCCAATGAAATAATGATTTTCAATATCTTTATAGGTCTATAGCGTATAACACAGTTGCATAATCGATTTATATTTTAATTTGAATAATTTTCCGTTTTGCATTCCTTAGGAAATTTGCAAATTTTTTTTTCTGCATGTATGGGAATTGGGAATGTTGAAGCTTGAGTAATTTTTATTTTCACTCGTCATTGCTGAGACAAAACAGATACATTTTCCTTTCATCATTAAGCGTTGAGTTCCAGCTTTCCCCTTCTACTACTACTTCCTAATTATTATAGATAAATTAATGCACTTTGTTATTATCGCCCCTCTTTGTCGGTTTCCCGTCAGTATTGTAGCAGAGTCACAGTAGAGTTGTGGCAGGTAGTGTATTCTTTGAATTTCGGGTTTGGGCTATCTAAAAGAAAAAAACCAATAAAAATTAGGACCATGTATTTTATCAATAGGGTGACCAGGTGATATCAACAATTTCCTTTTTGTTATAAATTACTAATGGTTTGTTTGTAGATATAAAAGGACTCAGGAAATGCCAAAAATTGTATTGTTTTGACCCCAGTTGTCAGTATTAGCAAGAAGTTTAGAAAATTACTTCATAACCTCTAACGAAAATTTGTGATAAAAACTAAAAATGCAACGTTGGTTTTTCCTTGAAGACCCCAGTAATTCTGGAATTCGTGCAGGAAAGGGAGAAGCTAGTATCTCCGACACATCATTGAGGTCAATCCAGTATCCTCCCAGAAATTGGCTTTTCCGTGTTAGGGTACACGACCTGAGAAATGAAGAGAGTGTTTGTGTCATAGGGGGCCTGCCCGAGCTAGGTTCGTGGCAGGCCGAAAGATGTATTCCGCTTACAAAAGAAGACGATCCAACAATATGGTCCGGCGTTATTGAAATCCCAGAAAAAAAGAAAATAGAATTCAGGTTCTGTATTTGCGTTGTGATCGAAGCAGGTATTCAGGTTATTGTGCGTAATTGGGAAACTTTTTTATCACCTAGAGTATTGGACACGATTTCTTCCGCTTCGCCTACATTAGAAGACGAACCCCTTGAGTACGGAAATTATAGTTACCAGGAGAGAATGGACAAAGGCTGGCTGAACAAAGAAACTGTCATACAACTCAAAATGTATAACAATTCACTCGGGTTATTCAGACCAAAGTATCAAAACAGAATTATTAATATGAAAGTAACGCCTGTGAGCTTGGCTCATCACAGTTCATTTCCAAAATCCCTCTCGGAGGCTTTAGAGGAATCGTTAAGTGCAGATACTCAGGATTCCGTAGAGCACCCCAAGCACTCTTTTACTGAGGTGGCCAGTTTGAACGATGAAGACCCTACGTTCCAACCCCAGAGTCAGTTTGGCCATCAAATCAGGAAAGATGACATGCTTATTTTCCAGTCGACTGTGCTATTTCCTGCTAACGTAGCTTTTCTTATCGATCTATATATATACAGCTCTAGGTGCGGCGACGGGGAACCCCCCTACCACGCCGGCTTCAGTTATCTGCTTCCTACTGTGCTACAGTCTTCGGAGGGTAGTATAGTTTTGCCTGTTACCAGCACCAAACATCGGCCTTTAGGGGAAATTCGTTTAGATTATCTAGTCATTGGGCCTCTGCCTAGTTTCAAATGTGATATGAGTATTTCCTATGCCAGACACTGGAAAAAGACCCGCGCAGGGCTGGATGTAGGTCACAGAGGCTCCGGCTCCAGCTTCAAGGCCAAGGTCCAAAACTGTGCCGAGGTTCGGGAGAATACTATTGCTAGTTTGAAGAACGCTATCGAACACGGGGCTGATTTTGTAGAGTTTGATGTACAGCTGAGCAAGGACTTGGTGCCTATCATATATCATGATTTTCATGTGTGTATTTCGATGAAGAAGAAGAAGGAGTTGTGCGAAATGGATATGCTGGAGATTCCTTTAAAAGAGCTCACCCTAGATCAGCTGAGACTTCTGAAAGTGAGTAAATAGTGCTAGATGTTTGAGGTATTTTATATTTTACTCTATTTGATTAAATTTCTCCTGGTTGAAGGCATACAACAATTTGAACTGTCTCATATCGGTAACTGACAGTTTGAACTATCGACTGGAGGTAATCAACAGCCTAAACTAATTAAGGTGCTAAAGGCATACAACAATTTGAATGTCTCATATAGGTAATTGACAGTTTGAACTATTTATTAGAATAGGTGATCAACAGCTTAAACTTTTACTATGCCTGTATAATTGACAGTTTGAACTATCAAATAAGGCCAATCGACAGTTTAAACTATTGAAAGGCATATCGACATTTTGAACTATTGAATGGCTAATTGACAGTTTAAATTGTTGAATGGCTAATTGACAGTTTAAACAATTGAATGGCTAATTGATAGTTTAAACTGTTGAATGGCTAATTGATAGTTTAAATCGTTGAATGGCTAATTGACTTAAACTAATTATAGGGAATTGCTAGTTGAAGCTGCAGATTAAATAATCGAGAATTTAAATTGTCAACTGGCCCTTGACTGTTGATTGCACAATTGATTTTAAAATAAAAATACTGTGGGGCCTTTTAGCCTTGTAACTGTTGTTGAAATTTTTCCACATTCCTGTGGATTAAACTTTTTTTCTATGAAAATCATGAATAATAACTCCAAAAACTCTCCAGGCCAAAGATTCTAAAGAAAATACAATTTTTGAATTATTTGCTCAAAAAATTATATTCCTGTTGGGGAATGTGAAAGGACGTTTCTGAATTTTGATAGATGGCAATAAATTTTGTTATTTTTTATTTGAAAAAGGCATATTGTCAATAACACACAAATATGAATAATGTCAATATTACACAATTATTTGTACTTTGATCTAAATGATAAGCCACTTGAGCGTCATTGAGATAAGTAGTGCATTGATGTATTTTATAGAGTTTTGTAAATGTCATTGAACTTATGTTCAGTAACACCTGAAGTTGTATTAGTATTTATATTGCTGTACTAATCCAATTGTTGTGGTCAAAATGCTACACTTTAACAATGAATTTGAGTCACTGTTTCCAATTCAAAGTTGACGAATTCATACAAATTAATATCATTAATAGAATTTTGATTGTATCATATTTTTGTTAAATTATGGTGAGGAATGTACAAGATGTAAAACCCACATGAATCTATTTTTCAATTTTATTATAACATAGTAATAATGTGATGATGCTGTTGGGAAATTTGTTATGGTGATTATGATTATGAAAAATCACATTTTCTTCAAGTTGGTGTTATTTTGACTCATGGTTATTTTATCGTGAGTATTAATACTTAATACACACAAGAATTATATTAACTCTTGTGAAAAAGTAGGATAAAAAAAACTGGCAAGATGTACTGTAGACAAGACAAGATTTATTCTGAGTGTACTCTTACAAAGTTCAAAAATGTAATGAATATTTCACCTAGCTAGTTAGAGAGGGAGTCATTTTAGTCATTAGAGAAAAGATGTTCCAATTAACATAGGTAGGAAAAGGTCATAATAGTGGCTTAGTCCCAAGATAAGGAGCACAAGGAACAATAAAGGAATTAAAAATGTAGCTATTTGTAGCTTACAATATTCACATGGAAATAGGCCTAAATAGAAGGGTAGCTTGGGTAAAGATATTCAGGAATATTAAATTTCATGAGGATAAGTGGATTAGAAAAGACATATACATTAGAAGACCAACTGGAAAACCCCGATTGGGAGACCCTTGAGAATAATGACATACTAAATAACTTGAACAAGATTAGTTGTCAATACCTAAAATAAAAATAATGCAATAAAACAATCTGCTTTGTTGTAGAAATTTCAGAGCTGGCAACTCTAGGCTAAATACTAAAAATTTAAGATTCACAATTCACTGAGTTGAGATACACAAGGTGTTTCAAAATTGCATTTACAAGAAAAAAACCTGATATCTGCATTGTCATCCCAGTCAAATTATACCTCGCCTCATACTGGGTAATTATTTTATTACGTACATTTATAAAAAATTTTTTGTATTGTTAATTGATAGTTTTAAAATCATTCTTAAGCAGTATTGTGTCTTCCATTAGTTTATTGATTAAATTTCATTCGGCTTTTTTCTATGCGGAAAAACTTGACTGTTTTTATGATAAACATAGCAAGAATGTAACAAAAAATTGTAGTTTTTTCATGAAAAAACCCTCGGTTCACTTTGATATTTAAGGTAAAGTTTCATGTTTTTATGTGACATAATTATAATAATAGTTGATGCTTTTATTGACCATTATATACAAAATACAGTTAATATACAATGCCAAGGGTAAGGAACAAAAGTTGTTATGAAAAAATGTGGCAAAAGGCAGAGTTTATGGATTACAGGATAGGTACAAATATTCTCTTCTACTATTTCAATCATTCATTATTATGCCAAAACTGTTCTTTCATTACACATATCAGAACATGAATTTTTTTTGTGGTTCAAAGGTGTCGACTACGAGGTCATTGGCCTAATTATTGAATATATGTCACAAGTGGCGTTTCATGAACTATCTGGTATTTCAACTAACTGGTTTTGCAATTCAGTCCTGAGACACCTTGTATATTCTGGTTGAGTACCATGGGTTAGAGAATTATTTATCGTTATACCTCAAAACATGAGTGAAATCTAATGGTGTGGTGCTTTTTCTTTTAAAAGAATTCTCGAATTGACCAAGAGAGATAACAAGGAAGCTATGGTGGTTCCTGGATGAAAAGTTAAGAGACATCTAAGCCCAAAGAATTAGGTTCAGTGAAAAGCCGAACAGAAAAACTTCCAAGTTTAAAAGTGGATATTTACTATGTATCCAAGAGAAGAAATGGAGTTTTTGTGAATCACGGTAGGTCAGTTTTATGTATTTCAACTTAGAAATAGGGAAAATATAGTGAGGCAACAGTATATTTTATATTGATTCATAATAGTTTTCCCGTTTTTTTAAAAAATATTCCAAAGAATCGCTGAGGTATCGGGTCAGATCTATTGTGGATTTACTGAAAACATTCATAATCTATTTTTTAGGATTTTTCCATGGACCCTGACGGCTTCGGACGCTGAGATGATGTTTTTCGTTGACAGCAAGAAACCAGCGTGCGGAGTGCAAAAGGAGTTCATGAAGTAACATAATTAAAACAAATTTCTTGTTGAATCAAATTGAGTTGTATTCGATTGTAAATAAATGCTTTGGCTTTTCGGCCTACATTTTTGAAAAATCCCTAGCAAGCCTGTATTTGTTGATTGATTGTAAATTTGCTAGACTTCTAGCAAACTCTTTACGTTGTATGAAAGCTCTTCATCATAAATAAACATGATGAATCGAAAATAAAATCGCTCTGATAGCTAACATGCCTATGAAATTGTAATTACGAATTCATTTCAGAAGTTCATAAATGAGATACAAAATTTTTGTGGGCTTCCTTCATTAAGAACAGTTTCATTATTCATTTTCAAGAAACGCTACAAAAATACGTTTCTACCCAAAATAACAGCACAAGCTAAAAAAGCTAGTTCAAGAATATGGTTTTTGAAGCGGTAAACTGATATTTTAAAGATTTGAAGATTATTCAAAGAGTAAGCTAGTCGAATAGTTTTGAGGATAAAGCTGTTTCATGAGTAATTGAAGCTATGGCTTTTCATATAAGAACTGCGGTACATTTTTTTAGAGTCGCAGTTGTAACTGCAGGAAAACCTTTGAGATCTTTACTGCATCTGAGCATACTCATTGTTAGAGGAGTTTTTACTATATACTGCTCTATAATAAGTAAAAATGTATGTTATAAATTGGAATTGGTGTCACGACAAAAACATTAACAGAATTTTTCAATTTCATTTACAGAACTTTTTTGGAATTAATTCATAGCTACGGTTTCATCAGCGCCTCGAACTTCAACTTTCCTAGCTGTTAGAGTGTTAATATTTTCATATCACTGTGTCAGTTTGTATATTATTTTTAGTGATTAGGCAAATGGGACGTTGTTAAAATAGTAGTGGAGATGATACTGTCTTGTCAGTATCAGCTCCAGTTACTTTTAAAGATTGTTGCTAATTACTGCGTTTATCGATTTTGGCTATTTATTATTGTTTACGGAAAAAACTATCTTCAAAAATTTCAACTGAAATAACATAGTGTTTCGACATTTCCCTTTTCTAATTGTGTATTACGAATTAACCAAGTTAAAACAAACCTATAATTTCTATTAGGTTGTTTTGAATGTTTTTTCCGTTTTTATGAGTCGCCTTCAGACAGTAATATCTCAGTGAATACTTATTCAATTTAATCAAAATAAGCTCCATTTGAATCATTGCTTCAACGTGTAATCTTGGTCTTTTTTTTGGGTTTTCGCCTTTGGGAAGTACCTGGGTGACTCATTGATATCCAACCACTGTCTTGAATGTCTCCTGTTGTCGCAGAGTCGCAGAGGCTCTACTTTTCATCATTAGATTAGATTAGATTGTCGGGGAGCTAGCCCATGGCCTGATTTTCAGATCTATTGTGATGCTCCATGGTTGTTAGAGATCATTGTCTAGCTTGATCTCCATGATGAGACTCCCTAGCCTTGACACTGACCCCTTCATATGGCTGGAAGCCTCTGGTTTTTTTCCCTGCATCTTCCGTGTCTCAGCCTTGCTATCGTTTCGCATTCATAAAGCAAATGCAGTGCGGTTTCTTCCTCTTCTTGACATAACCTGCACTGGGTTTCTTCTGTCAGACCCATGTTGCTGATATGTTTCCTGAGCCGGCTATGCCCCGTTAGTAGACCCACCACTACCCTTCCAATCTTACGGTTGTGGTTTAGCAAGTCTTCCGTGAATCTGGGCGATGGTTTCTTTATGAACTCTTTCGCCTGCCCCATTCCTGGGAGCTTATTCCACCAATCTATCGATTCGGCCTGCATCCATGAGTTTATGGATGTCTTTATACATGCTTTCGCTACCCTGCAGAACGGTTCTGGACCGATCTTGGCCTTGGATGCGCCTTCACGGGCTAGAACATCGACCTCCTCATTGCTCTTGAGACCCTCATGTCCGGGTACCCAAGCTAGAGTGACCCTATTTTGGACCCTTAGCTCCTTGAGTGCGCCCCGACAGCATCCCACTAGTTTTGAGAAGACTTGAAATGAGCTGAGCGCTTTAATTGCCGCCTGGTTGCAGGGAAAATGCCAATGGTTTTTTTTTTGTGACCTTCTGCCTGTTTATTTCCCCTATACAGTGTTCAATGGCCGCTACTTCTGCCTGGAACACAGTTGCATTTTGTCCGAGGCTGAGTGCCATCTGTATACCAAGTTTCTTCCTCTTTTACCGGTGGGCCGTTTTGCCAGTCCTCTCGACTTGATATGATGATTTTGAAATCTTTTTTGAAATTTGTACGGCGCAACTGTGTTATCCACGGGCATTCCTGGTATTGGATCTGCTTTCAGTTCATTGTACGGTTTCAAGTATTCTGCACCGTGTGACTGGCTGATTTGGGTTTATTCCTGCATTAGCCTGTGTGTCACCAGTCGAGCTTCTTTTTGTATGTAGATGTGCAATGGTGGAAATCCGAGTAGGACGTTATGTGCCGCCTAATAGCCTAGCCGTACCCGATTGCTTTGTTCTTGTCCACCAAGTCACTACACCCATGGGTCTCACTACCCTTGTATATAACCAGAGTGTCATGGGTTCAGCCCTCAGTTTTTCCCGCACATTCCTCTGCAAATTCCCAGGGCCATGCTGGCCTTATGTGCTGTTTTTAGGATGTGGAGGTTCCACGTGAGCCTGTGATCGAAAGTGACACCTTCGTCACCTTCGTGGCGAAAGAAATCTCCACTTCATTGAGTATTGATGGTTTTAGTAGTAGCATCACTATTTTCCTTGTGAACACGACGCCAGTGGTTTTTTGGGCATTCACTGAGAGGTTCTCATGCTCGCACCATCTGACGACGATGTTCAAGGCTGTTTCCCTTTTGCGACTATCACCAGATCGTCAGCATATCCCAGGCAATATATTCCTTCTTCAGAGGAGATCGTTTACTAGGGTTGCCCATAGCAATGGCGATAGAACACCTCTTTGTAGGCATCCCTTCTCTGCTCTTACCTGTATGGTAGCCTCTCTTAGAGTGATGTATATCATCCTTTCTAGGCTGGCTTTTATCCATCGACACTTCTCTGGTACTCCTCTTTTTCCCAGTGCGTCCGTGGAGACATTATTAAATGCACCTTCGATGCCTAGAAAAGCAGCTACTGCCATTTCCAGCCACTTGTCGTCCAGCCACTTGGCTGGAGACAGCGCTGAATCTGTCGATTTCCTAGGCAGGCTGGTACGTATTTTGAGGAGTACCAAAAGGTCTTTCATTCAACGTTTCGTCTCTTATGTATCGATCCAGTAACCTTTCAACGGTTTTCATTAGGAAGGACGTTAGACTGCTAGGTTTGGTCATCATACGTGATGATCCGATCCAAAAAAGGATCGTTTTGATTGCGCAAAAGCAAAGAAGAATAGACCTCGAAACGTGAATTTCTGTCGATCGTGGGGCACCCACTTTTCTAGCTTTTTGACCTTTCAACCATCAAATACCGTATGAGAGCTGACGCCCAATTCTTTTTCCACCTCACGCACCGTTTGTGATGAGTCAGTCTCCACCTGGGGCCTCAAATCCTTGTCCTGATTTAATGTAGGTCGACCGTTTCGGGGCTAATCTTCGAGGCTAAAATCTCCGAAACGGAATTTCGCAAACCAACGTTGAACAGGTCGATCATTAACACCATCATTGCCAAATTCCTGGTTGATTTTTTGGTCTGTTTCGGCAGTACTTTGGTTCAATTCGAATTTGAATGAACAGTACAACATTCTTTATTGATCAGTATGTATACCGATGCAGTAGAATGAATGTTTGTTGAGATAAGAAGCTACAAAAACACATGACTTTGAAACATACACACTTTTGAAACAACCTAATGAAATTGTAGACTTGCAATTTAACTCTGTAGAATGTTCTGCGGAACAGTTTACTAGCCTCAAGAGTCTTAGGCTGAAATATATCTGTATTGGGACTCGATTCCCAGAAGCATTAAACCTCCATCAACAAGTAACCGTGTTGATGGCCCAGCAATTGACTAAAAATTCACTAGTGTACAGATTGAGTTGTTGAAAATATACCAGAAGGCATAGCTGTCAGAAAAAGAATTCAAAAATACGTCCAAGTTTGTTTGCAAGGTGACAAGTTTAGACCCGAGAATATTACCTACATAACGTCGGTGGTATTATCCCCGAGTGAGAAAGACCTAGTTGAAAATACCTTTTGATTTCCATTGTTGCTTCTTTTTGAAAGTTGATTGTTTCGATTCGAAGTTATGGAGCTTCGAAATGCTAACGATTCTTTTCTTGGACTCAGCTTAGCTACCGAGTATGAGCAATCTTTGTAAAGATGATTAGGGTTTTGGATAGTTGTTTTTTTCAGCTATTCATTTTTATTCTTCTTCTTCAATTTTTAATTCTTCTTTTTTAGTTATTTCAGGCATTTCAAATCATTTTATATACTATCAGACAATGGAAGTCCGAACTAGTGAAATTCATCATGAAACATTATCAATCACCTTCAAACAAACGATTAAGGATAGGTTATGTTAGAATTAAGTTGAATTCAATGTAGGTTAGGTTTTCTTTTTTTAGGGGTTTCCGTCCTCACAACTTCATTCGGACGAAAACATTTCCCCGCGACCGATTTTGATGATATTTATATTTTTTAATTCATTCAAAAACACCATATCTCTGATGATGAACTTTAAAGAAGTTATACCAGTTTTAAGGTTACGTATTGAGTCTATGGGGGAAAATTTCAAGTGTGAAAATGAGATCAGGGTTTAGTTGGATTCAGCTTAGCCACCCATTTTAGGCAATCATTTCGTGGATGAAGTATGTTTTTTTGGTAAGGTTAGATTTATATTTATTTCAACTCAGGTTAGTCGTTTTTTTCTGAATGTTTTTTACACTTCATTATCACGAAAAGATTTTCCTTTGACTTCTTTTGATATTTATTTCTTTTAATTACTCATCCAAAAATATGACAAAAATTCTGTTGTGACAACCCCTAATGGCGAACATTAAAAAAGTTATACGAGTTTTGAGGTTACGTCTGTGGGAGAAAATTTCAACTGCAAAGATGAGACTGATGATTAGGGTTGAGGTTAGGTTCAAGTTGCATTGAGGTTAGCGACCAATTTTGAGCAATTGTTTTGAGTAGGTTGGGTTTTAAGTTCAATTCAGCCAAAGTGAGGTTAGGTTTGAGTTAAATTCAATTTAGGTTAGGTTTGGTTTTATTGCCCGAGGCTTTTTCGTTCTCACAGTATTTTTTGCACAAAAAAAATCCATATACTCAACATTGAAACTTTTCTGTTTGTTTATTTTTTTTGTATTTTTCATTATTGGTAGTTGTGACCATATACTTTTGACTCTTAACTGGAATTAATTAATTAAATAATTTTTAAATCCGCTTCACCTAAAGTCTTTGGTTTTTTATTAATAATTTGACTCTTCATTTTTCGTGTTGCTTTCGTAAAATACATCCCTCGTTTGATTCTACATTTCTTCAACCTTGTTTTCTCCTAGAGATATTCTTTCTCTTCGATTGTTTCTTTTTAGATTTTTTGACAACCATCTCGTTGGAAATTATATAATACACTGGTAGATTTACCAGATTTACCACATTACAGTATTTTTATAGAGATAATTTTTAATTTTTTGATATTTTCAATCTGTTCCTCCAAATTTCTTTTTTTTTTTAATTTGACTGCAGCGGTTGCTTCAGTCCATTCTGCTCATCATTTTTTTGGAGATTTGTCTCGATTTGTCGCTCCAATTTTTTTTGCAGATAACTTATATTTTTATTCACCTGAATTGATTATTTTAATTTTTTATCTGGAATAACATTTATATCCTTCTGGAATTTTCTTTTTGTAGCACGCTTCAAATCATCTGTTATATCAACATCCAGTCGGGGCAGTCGGTAGCCAAGCGGTTCGGCGTGGGTGCTTTGTTCACTCACTCGAATTGACTGCCGTGTTGGTCGGTGGTTCAAGCCCTAGTCTGAACGATCGATCTTCACTTGCTACCGTCCAACCCGTGTTAGGAATCACACGTTAAAAGGTAAGACCTCGTTAATCCTTAGCTCGCACAAGTTTCGACTTCTGAGGGTTGTCGTTCGTAGGGGTGCGACAGCTGGTTAACGGAAAAACATATTTTAAACATATTTTAAACATACATATCCATATTTTGTTGTTGTGTCGTTCACGTCTCGTCCTAGATTTTTTCTTCTCAACTCGGATGGTTTTATTTACATTGTTGTTATTGAGAAGTTCAAGAAACTATTCAATATTCTTTGTTACATCTGTCAATCGCTTATTCATTCCACTCGGTAGCTTGATACATTTTTTTTTTATATTCGCAGTTAGTGGTTGACGTTTTCGTAAACCCATTTTAATCTTAGTTTTCATTGTCCCTGCGACCGCTAGGGCAGCCATTTTTTCTCCTGAAGAATTGTCTTTCGATTTGAATCGCATCATAGCCTTATTAGCTAAAAATCTATCAGCTTCATGTCTACAATTTGAATCTTTGTTTGTGAATAACTCATGTCATGAGTTTTACATGCTTCATCTAAACCATTTATATCCTTTTGTCCGAGAGCAAGACGTTTTTGTAATTTTGTACCAGGTCAATATCTATATCCAGGTATATGCAGTTCAACCGGTAGGTTATTAATAGCACTATTTACTAATCCATCACTACTATAATATCGCAGCATATTAGATCTTTTCACGTATAAGTTTAAAAGTTGACTGACTATCTCAAGTATTTTGAAAGGTAGGTATAAGGGTTATTGTACAGAAAATCGCTCTACCAATTCCAAATGATATATTTGAAACATAGGAAACTTTCAATAAGCATGGTATTCTATTTCCATCAACCGTAAGACGTATAATTGTTGGACCTTGCAACTGTGGTAAAACAAATTCAATAGTGAATTTCACTAGTTCGGACTTCCATTGTTTACTATATAAAATGATTTGAAATCCCTGAAACAACTAAAAAAGAATAATTAAAAATGAATAGCTGAAAATGACAATTATATTAAGCAAAATAAACCTGAAATGAAATAATAGTGAAATAAGCTACAAGTAAAAATAGAACAATTGAATAAATAAAAACAAATTAAAAATAAAGGAATGATTCCTCCGAGAGATGACTATTTATAGGTCGTTCAAATACTTTCACTTATCCCTGCTTTCCATTTTCCGCTTCACTGGTTCCGTGGGAGATGACCGTTTTGGCGGGAGTTGGCCATTTTTCGCTTGATGATGGGTTTCCATATGTTGCGTATTTCTACGCTGGCCTGGCTGAATACGTTGTTGGACAACATGTATGCGGCTTCCTTGAATTTTCTCCCAAACCAATGTACTTCTCTGTGCAAGATCTCAGCTTGGGACCACTCGATGTTGTGTTGATGGGTCCAAACATGGTCTGCTATTCCTGATTTGCTGGTTTCCCCTCGCTGTGTGTGTTTCTTGTGCTCGGCAATGCGAAAATTCAATGGCCTCTTAGTAACACCAATATAGGATTTTCCGCACTCACAGGGTATCCGGTAAATGCAATTCTTGAAATCGCAGTCCGCGTTTGGTGGCCTGGTTTTCGTGAGGCTGCTACGGATAGTGTTAACGGATCTGAAGCAGGTTCTGATGTTGTACTTGGAATCAATTCTTCTTATCCTCTCCGATAATCCTCTGATGTAGGGAAGTGCAAGCACTGGTTGTGACGGCTTCTCTTCCTTGCGAGGCTCCTGCTGTCTTTTAGCCAAAGTCTTTTCTACCATCGCTTTGGAGTAGCCATTCCGTTGAAGATCATTTTTGATTATGTCTAGTTCCTTCTCGAGACCTTCCTTCGTATTACAGAGCCCAAAAGCACGGTCTAATAGAGTCTTGATGATTCCTCTTTTAGTCGATTGATGGTGGTTGGATTCGTGGTTCAGATACTGTCCCGTATGAGTGGGTTTTCGGTATACAGATGTTTCCCACTTAGTGTCGGTCCTCTTCACCAAAACGTCTAAGAATGGCAATTCGTTGTGGATTTCCTGCTCCATTGTGAAAGTGATGGAAGGTCTCACGCTGTTGATGTGTTTCAGGAAGGCGTCTAGTTCAGTATTCCCATGGTTCCATATTATGAAGGTGTCGTCAATATATCTCAACCAGACTCGAGGTTTCTTGTGGGCTTCTTCAATGGCCACAGTTTCAAACCACTCCAAATATATGTTGGCTATGACTGGTGAAAGTGGCGATCCCATTGGCAGTCCCTCATCTTGTGTAAAGAATTCGTCCTTCAGTTGGAAGCATCCTAGTAATTCCATAATTACTTCTATAGGTAGATTCGTTCTCTCTTTCAGGTTCCCGTCTTCGGATAGCTTTCTCTGTATGATTTGGAGTGCTTCTTCGACCGGAACGTTGGTGTAAAGGTTTTCCACGTCGAAACTAATTAGTTGATCTTCCTGTGTGACCTCAATTGACCCTAGCAGTTCGACAAAATGCCTTGAATTCTTCACAAAAGACGATGTTTTTCCTTGTAATGGTTATATTAAGGGAAGTAAAAATCTAGACAAGTTTTGAGTAGCCGAATCTCTGGAGCTGATGATCGGTCTAAGCGGAACGTCCTTCCTGTGGATTTTGGGCAGTCCATACAAGTGAGGGGGCTTACTGTGGTGGGGTGTTAGCCACGATCTTTCCTTGTACGAAAAATAGACTTGGTGTTTTTTCAAAATCTGGTACAACTTCTTTTCGATTGATGCAGTAGGGTCCCGTACGATCTTTGTGTATCGTTCCTTCTGCAGAACCTCTTCGATCTTCTGTTCGTAGAGAACGGTATCCATTACCACAGTAGCGTTTCCTTTATCTGCAGGTAGGATCTTGATGGTGTGGGCCGTTCAGAGCTCTACGTTCTTCACTGCTGATGTTAGATGTTGGAACTGGTTCTCGATCCAGCTGTTCTCTAATTTTCCATCTGAACTCTTCTGCCTCGGTCTGGTCAATAAGGGAACTGGTGGATTCCACTGCAGTAATTATCTCCAAAGTGGGCACAGATGTTGGCGTAATGGCGAAATTTAGGCCTTTTCTCAATAAGGATTCCTCTATTCCCGTGAGCGGGCGGGAACTCATGTTGATTATGTTGGCGGCTTCATAGTTGTCCTGTTTTCGGACTGTATTTGGGTATTGTTTCCTCACTAACTTTCCCCACTTTCTGTTGTGGGTATTCCCCATGTCTTGGCGGATCTTTAAGCACGTGCTTTCAATCTTGGCAAAGATTGGTCCATGAAGATCTTCCAATGTCTCTCTTCTTCCGAACTAGTGAAATTCATCATGAAACATTGTCAATCACCTTCAAACAAATTTAATGGTGAATATCGCACCTAGAGATAAACATTCCGGTAACTCAGAAAACCTCATTTTTCAGAAATGACTTTGCAAAAAGTTATTTATCTGGCAGCTATGCACTGCGGTACGTTTTTCAATTACCACATAGCATACTCTTTATGGCCAAAAAACTTAGTTTTCTTTAGTTCTATGTTTTGCCTTCTGGTTTGTTTTCGAAAACAAAAGAATTTTACTTCTCCATGCCTTTTTTCTAAAGAACATTTAAATCTGGAAAATAACGAAACATTATATTATGGAAAACTTTCAGGTTTATCATTTAACAGAAGGCAAATCGAAAAACCCCCGATTCTTCGACGAAGATCTTGACGATCACCAGCCGTTCCCGACCTTGCAGCAATGCTTGGAAACTCTGGACTCCCACACCGGGTTCAACATCGAAATAAAATGGACGATGCAACTGAAGGACGGTACCTACGAGTTGTACCACCCCACGGACCTCAACTTGTACCTGGACACCATCCTCGACGTCGTCCTTCGCTACGGAGGCGACAGGAGAATAATCTTCTCGTGTTTCAATCCGGATATCTGCCAGGTGATTAGATTGAAGCAGAACAAGTATCCCGTGATGTTTTTGACGGTCGGCGAGAGTAAAACTTACCAGCAGTACAAGGATCCGAGATGTTGGTCCATCAATTCGGCCGTGCAGTTCGCTAAGATGAGCGAGATTTTGGGGATCAACGTGCATACGGAGGATATTTTGAGAGACTCCAGTTTGGTAAGTGAATGAAATATAATCTGATTCCACTATAGTTATGTTGTAATTGCTTTTCACTGTGGCTCAGTATTAAATGGCGATGACGTAACTATCACCTCATTTTTACTCTGGTCGGAAGGCCAATTAAGTATGGCCCAGAGTTACAAAAGAAGCCCTTGACCATAAATTTGACTTGACAAGCTACTGTCTTCTCTTTTCCTCCCACGTTTTAATTCATCCTGACGTTTGCTGCTTCACTTTAACAATCTTCGTCGTGCCGACAAGCATGTTGAATTATATATTCTTTAGTCGACATTTATTGTGGAGGACTCAATATTTTAAACTGTTATTTTGGGTTTATAATCATCTACAATCTGAAAAAAGCAAAGCTAAATCAGTAGATAATCTGCAGAAGTGTAGTAAAGGGCAAACTGAACAATTATGAAAATCTCGCTTTAAACTGTAATATTTTTAATTTCTTTTGACTTGTCTCTTCCAAGTAGCATATCTGTCACGATCCATGTACCTGTAAGTTTATGTTTTTATTCGGAATGATCACAATAGCAAATAAAACTTGAATCTGAACAATAGAGATATCAATCACATGTGACAACTGGCACTAATGACAAACACACAGTGTAGCCACCTCAGAAAAAATACAAATACTCCTAAAGAAATTCTCATCCACTTTTTCATCTCTCTCTTAATCAATTACAAATACCACCCACATGTAACAACTGACACTTATAGCAATACACAGAGTAGCCAACTTAGAAAAAATAAATATGGTTCAAAAGAAATCCTAATCCAATATGATTGATTTGTTGTATTTACACAACAATCAGTTCAGGGAGCAGGAACTCACTCACTTTATTATCTCTTTTCTATACAAATACAAATATCAACCACATCTGACAACTGACACTTATAGCAATACACAGAGTAGCCAACTTAGAAAAGATAGATGTGCTCCAAAAGAAATCTTCATCCAATATGGTTGATTTTTGTATGATATTTACTGCAGGGAATACGAATTCATGCCACTTCATTTTCTCTCTCCTACAATATTCTATCAAATTACCAGTGTGCCCGCCATGGAAGGGTTGACGAGTAAAGGATTATTTAAACAAATAATAGTTTAACCAAATAAAAAAGAACACGTTTTATTAGCAACAAACTAAAAGATAAATCGAAACTAATTTAAGATTTATTCTGATTTCAGACTGAAATTTTTTAACTTAATTGCCGAAATCTTTTATTTTCGGCCAGTATCAACAAGAATTTCATCTGCAAGAAAAAGTTTACAAATGTTCATCAGATGTAAATCGATATATGTTGTGATATCAGCCAGGATAGTAGTTGTTTTCAGGCAGTCATTTGCCTACTTCTACTGTTTAGCAAGACTGGGGGAGATGAATGTTTTGAATTTTATTCTTAGCGATTCATACGTTGAAAATGCCTCTCATTGACACTACCATCAAACTGTTTTGCTTTCTGTTAGATATCAGTTTAGGATTCCCTCTTTCAACTTGTCTCATAATTCCTTCAGCAGAACCTACCAGAAATACAGTTTTAGAAAAAATATATAATGGAAGACATTCATATCAGTTTGCATAAAAAAACAAATTGAATGTTTTGTTTACATTTTGCATTTCTCAGATTAGATATGCCTTATGACGTTTTATTTTTCCATTGTTTCTGCTGTATTGCAACACGTGTTTAGAAATTTAGTCTACTGAAAATCTTATATTGATAAATATCAATGAATTGAATTACAGTATGACTGTTTCATTGCTAATTATTTTCATAGTATGCATGTAGTATCCGATTTGTAAACTTACTGTTTATTATTTGGTATACTGATATTATTAGATACAATTCTTGAATACGATATGTTTTTTGAAGTTTGTTTTATTACGATAGGTTGTCTTTTATGTTTCGGGATTTGGCAACCCTAGCGTTGCAATCTGACAACTGACAGCTCTATCGTAAAGTTGGACATTTTTGAGCTTATACGTATTCAGAACGTTTTGGCATACGCGCGCTTTTTGTGTTGTTTACGGTAACTTAAATCTCGGCCCAAAAATGGAATGAAATCGCTCAAAAAAGGCTCGTGCCGATTGGTCGAAGGAAATGCTCAAAAAATACGATCGCGGTGCTTCGAAACACGTCTATGACATCGTGACAGGTGATGAATCGTGGATTTACGCGTATGAGCCCGAAAGTAAACAGCAGTCGACTGTATGGGTGCTCTCACACATCAGCTCAAACAACTGCATTTTTGAGCACCCAAAATATCGATTTGATGAGTCATTCGCCGTATAGTCCTAACTTGGCACCAAATTACTTCTTTTTATTCCCGCACGTAAAAAACAAACTGAGAGGTCAACGTTTTTCGACACCTGAAGAAGCGGTTGCTGCAGTCAGAATGCACGTTTTGGAGATACCTCAATCAGAGTGGCAAAAGTGCTTCGACAATTGGTTCAAACGCATGCAAAAGTGTATAGATCTTCATGGGGAATATTTTGAAAAACAAAGTGATTTTCGATGATTAATATTTGTTTTTGTTCTCTAATCCCGAAATATAAAAGGCAACAAACGTATGTTAATTATGAAAAACTTGTTTCAAAGTGATTATCAATTATAAAATGTTAGAAGGGTCCTCTCAAAGAGCTGAGCTCTAAGCAGAATGAATGAAATATATAGGCTGTTTGAAAAGTTTCGACCGTTTTTATGACTCTACTTAAAACAGTAATATCTCAGGGAACAGTTATTCAATTCAATCGAAATAAGCTTCATTTGAATCAGTGAACTTTTGCCAACGTAACACAATTCGATTAATGCCGTCAGTATAAAAATTGGGTTCCCGGGATTCGATGAAGTCGACGAAGACCGTTTTTGCCTGGTCCTGATTGCCGGAGGTGGTAGTCGATTGGCAAAAGGTCTGGGGAGTGTGTGGTGGGTGAGGCAGACGTCCGTGCGGACGGGCGTTGTCGTGGAGCAGGATAGGATATGTTTTGTTGACCGATATCGGTCAACAGAAGAGATCCTTTGGGAAGTGCCAGAGTGGCTCATCGGTGTCTGACCACTGTCCTGGACGTCCCTGTCGTTGTAGAGGATCCACTTTTCATCACTCGTGAAGATCCGATCCAAAAAAGGATCGTTTGGGTCGCGCAAAGGCAAAGAGAGCGAAACGTGATAGTTTCAGTCGATCGTTCAAATCGTGGGGCACCCACTTCTCGAGCTTTTTCACCTTTCCAATATGTTTCACACCATAGAAAACTGTATGAAAACTGACGCTCAGTTCTACGGTCATCTCACGCACCGATTGTGATGGGTCAGTCTCGACCAGGGTTCTCAAATCACACAGCGAGGGGAAACCAGCAAATCAGGAATAGCAGAGCATATTTGCATTCATCTCCCAAGCTGAGATCATACACAGGGAGGAAAACTGGTTTAAAAGGAAATTCAAAGAAGCTGCATACATGTTGTCCGACAATGTATTCAGCCAAGTTACCGTAGAGATACGCAACATATGGAAACCCATAATCAAGCGAAAAATGGCCAACTCCCGCCAAACGGTGATTTCCCGCTAAACCGGTGGAGCGGAAAGAGGAAAAAGTGAAAGTACTCATACAACAATCGAAACGTCGTGAAGTAACTTGGCTTGGAATTCCTTATTTTATGTTTAATGGTTCTATTTTTTTTTCATGTATTTTATTTTACTGTAATTTCGCTTCAGTTTCTTTTTGCTTAATATAATTGTTATCATTTTATATGTTATTAGACAATGGAAGTCGAAACATAGTTATAAGCTGTTCATCGTTTTTCTGAATGGTACTTTGTTAGTAGTTTAGACTTTGCACTAGTTGTATCTGTAAAAAAGTATCGAAAAACAAAGTGTCATAATAGTAATGGTTAATTTGTTTAGCCAATTGTTCTTCTTGAATCATTTTACATTTTCTTCAGATCTATTTTGTGTCAATTTCATTTCTTCATTCCACCATTCCATTTTTCTCTTTATAGTATTTGTTTATATGTTTTTCAGTTTTTATATCCATTTCCAGTTTATCATCTGTCAGTTTTTGGCATTCCGTTTTTATACTCTTAGCCAGTATTTCTTGATAATTTATATGAATAATAGTTGTTACCCGCGGCTTCGCCCGCGTAGAATTTGGTAGTTGTAGTACTAATTAGTACTATGTTGCTGTATCGCTGCTGTTCCAATGTTCCAATTCGTTCAGGTCAGTCTCAACACCCCACACAGTAGGTTAATGGACTGACACCTATCGGAAAACAACTACTCTCCTGGCTAATACCACGAAGGGCGTTGGATTATATCCGACAGGTGTCAGTGCAGGATTCTTCACTGAAGTTATTCCTGCATATGCTGTGGCGATACAACTGCCGCAATAGATTATCAATTATTGGAACACACTTGCAGACCGGTTTCGGGCTGTTTGGCCGCTCGTCAGTGCAAGATAATGTATATCATCAACATAAAGTCGATGATTTCCGATAATTGAAAATCGAATTCCGTCAGAGTATCATTCCTCGAACTAAGCTGAAGCATACAACAAACAACAGGTTTGTCGTCGCTCCATCTGCCTGTGAGCGAGGTAACCAACTGCATATCCAAAATTTGCCCAATTCCTCGTATAAGGAAAGAAATCTTTCACGTATAGTCAGTGGGAATACTTGAAGACTGTATCGCTAACAGCATATTCAGGAATAACTTCAGTGAAGAATCCTGCACACCTGTCGAATATAATCCAACACCCTTCGTGGTATTAGCCAGGGGAGTAGTTGTTTTCTGAAAGGTGTCAGTCCATTAACCTACTGTGTAGGGTGTTGAGACAGGCCTGAACGAATTGTTCTTTTAGATGATTTGATTTACAGCCAGTCTTCAAGTATGCCCACTGACTATACGTGAAAGAATCAGAATCAACGAACTTAGGCGTGCGCAGCGTTATAGAACAGTGCTTTAAAAAAATTGTTCTACAGCGCCATCTAGTGGCGGTTTACAGTAAAATTGATAGCCTAAAAACCTTCTCTATGAAAAATTACTTATATAGGTTGAGAGATGCAGAAGTTTATCACCTACCAACCAACCAACCAACCAACAAACATCTATTTTTATACATTAGATACATTTTTCTAAACTGGTTCTTATTCATCACCGAAAATACCTTGACTAACTTATTATTTTTTCAAATTGAATTCACAATGTAATAATTGATAATGGATATTCATCTCTGTTTCCAACAATAATATAATCAATCGGAATGCGGCTTGATGTTGCAATAAGAATATTTATATCACTTGGCATAAAAAACAAATTGAATAAGCTCTATTTTTCACTGATTGGATATGCTTCATGAGATTTATTTTTCCAATTGAAATAATTGTCCCATTCAGAAAAGTGATCTCTTTATAACAATTCAATTTCGTTTTGCTTACAAATATTTGATTTCGTGTATGATGATTGTTACTTTTGTTTATTTTTAACAGTGGATATGTTCCAATATATATATTTTTAGAAAGTGTATGTAGTGTCACCTGTATCCAAAAATAGATATTATAATTCGTGTATCATTACCTGTTCCTTTCTTCAAAATTTGCTTCTCAGTATTTTTTACCTCAAGGATTTTCTGATGATATAACCGATTTAGATGATGAGATTAGAAATCGATGCCTCAAAAACTTGAATAACCACTTTAGAATTGAAAGTTTTAAGTATACACCACTATTATCTAATGATTGACTACTCTCAAATCACAATAAAAAAATATATGAATTTTAATAACTATTTTCTTCACACATAATCATGGATTATGCCATCACTGATTTCAATGTCGCCATCAATTTGATCACCAGCAAGTCTATATAGATTTAATGGTAGTGGTATATCTTAATTGAGGCCTCACAAAATTTTTCATGTCGAAATTTGCGGTAGGATGATTGTAAATTTCACTGTAAAAAATAAAATTGATTTATCTATTTCCCTGCAATGACCTCTAAGTTTTTTTGCATCGATTTTTGTAGCCACTGTAATAACAAATTCAGCTGTGTATTACAATACAGGTTCGTATTTAAAAAAAATAAAGTTGATGCAATCTAGAGAACGAAACGTCCATTGAATCAGATTATAACAAATATGTAACAGTATTGAAAGTTCCTCGGCCTGTATCTTTATCTGTAGAGTAGGGAGGGTGAGTGTAAGCCCACGCACTTAGGCCACATGAGACCCATTGTACATCCTCCCGAGGAGTTGTCCTCCTAGGTCATCTTCCATCCTGTTCCTTACAGGAAGGTGGACAGGTCTCTGGGAGACATCTCCTTTATATCGGCAGGTGTAGGCCAAGACNTGGTCGGAATGCTTTTGGTAGGGTGTAGTCCATCCTACCTGGTTTGGGTATAAATACTACTCTTACTTCTCTCCACTTACTGGGAATATACCTCAGAGCTAGAGAGGCTCTGAATATTCCAACCAGGTGTGGCATAAGAGTGTCCAGTCCCCACTGAAGTAGGGCTGGTCTTATACCGTCAGGCCCTGGTGACTTGAAGGGGGAAAAGCCTGATATATCCCATCTTATTTTGTCCTCATCAATTACTGTACTAGCATATTGCCAGTCATATTGTGAGGGTGTTTTTGTTATACCGTCCAGTTCGCCGTTCCAGGAAAGACAGAACCTGGGTTCCTCGGCCTTTTTTCTATAATATTTGAAGTGGAGGCGTCAGAGCTGAAAGACGAAATTCGATATTTCCAGTTTCTGGCGAATATTTCAAATCAATCAAATCAATTAATCAATATTCTCAATCTGAAAAAAAATTATTTTAGTTTTGTCCTTTTCAACATACCTTGAAGGTCTCACAATTTCCGAGAAAGCAATAGTGGGATCGGCTAAAAAACGAACTATATAATTTGCTCTCAGATGGAAAGCACCGTGTATCTAATACAAATAGTCACATAAGAAAAAAATTAGGGTTACAAAAAATCACTTGGGGCTAGATATGGTGAGTAAGGCGGATGGTCAAGCAGTTCAAACCGTAATTCGTGGGTTTTCGCCATGGCAACCACTGAGGTATGAGAAGTGCGTTGTTTTGGTGAAACAGGTTTTTAACACGCTTTTATTAGCTTCACCTGTATATATGTATGTTTTTTTGTTCGTTTGTAACTCTCAAGCTCGGGATCTGTAAACGACTGTTACATAACAACTATGCGACCAAAATGGCTGAAACTTTGGTGAGTAACTGCCAACAGATGAACAACGAGTGCTGCCATCTTCATGTTGAGGTCGGAAACTTTTCAGGCCATCCTCTAATATCTCATTTTCTCATTTGATTTCTAGGAATAAAGTTGTCAGTTGGAAAGAAATACTCACGACTTTTTCTCCATTTCCAGGTGAAACTGGCTACATCGAACGGCCTAGTGATCTTCTGTTGGGGCGACGAGAATGCCGACCCCACCACCATCAAGTTCCTCAAAGACCTCGGACTCCACGGCGTCATCTACGACAAGATCCACGAATACAACAACAAGGAGGTGAAAGAGAGCATATTCTTGGTGGAGGCGCGTGGGTCGCAGAAGGAGCTCCGGCTCCTGGCGGCCGCGACCTCCGAAAACCCCCAGAGTCCCCCGCCTCAACCCGTCATCAAGGAGCCCATGCTCGATTTCGAATCGGTCAAGGCGCAACTCGGTGATGGTATTTCGACAGCGACTTCTCTGGAAAGCTTGGAGAGCTTGCCTTCGTGCTGCGTTAAAATTAATCGAGTCTCAGACACACTGCTGTTTGGGTCGGATCGTTCCTGCACTGATGAGAGGTAGTACCTCGAAACTGGTCTGTAGGTGACTTACTTGAATGATTTCAGCATAGTCCTGCTGCTGTATGAACCAGAAACATCTGCCAGACTAACCTCTGTGAGGTATGTATTTTGCATAAATGTCTGTCGGATATAATTCAATATCCAGTTATTAGCCAGAGAAGTAGTTGAATATTACTTTCCAACACTAAAGCTTTATTTTAGACACATCGACACGTTTTTCGAACACCAAGTGATCATCTCCGAGTGGAAGACTAAGGGAAGGGAAGTAGTTTTTCATCAGGCATTCACATGGCTTCTCCCAAGCAGCACTAGAACTTCTAGATATTACTTCTTATTGACCGTACGACCATGTGGAAAGAACTCTTGATGCTCTACGCTACGGTAATCGAAGAAAACAGTAAGCAAAAGTCCAAAAATGGTCAACATCATTAAAAATCGTAATTCTGTGATTCTTTTCAAACGAAATTTGTTTTTTTACCTAGATTGTAACTCGATTGAAAATAAAGAATTCCGGAGTTTCATGAGTAACAGTTACTATTATTGAAAGAAAACAGGCTTGTGTAAACACTAAAATTAAGAATGTAAATAAAAACAATTGTATCCAACTACCGTCATCTATGAGTTAGAAGTTGAAGTGTCTTTGGACGAACGTTTTTGCTTTGTATGTAGAAAACCTTATAAGAATTTGGGTGAGGAACTAAATTAGTTTTTCTTTTAGTTTTTAGATGGCGCTTCCTAAAATTTCCCGATATTTCTATGTGGAAAAATTGAAAAAATTCAGCGTTTTTCCTCATTGAGAACCCAGTATTTGGTGAAGGTATTTACCCACCAAGCGAAATTACAACAGATATCAGGATTTGTTTGAAGGTGTTGATGATGTCTAATATAATATAAATTTATTCGAAATCCTTGAAAATTATCTGTAAAAAAACTCGTCATCATCAAAAATGACCCTCAACGGAATGGTTACTCCAGAGTGATGGTAGAACAGGCTTTAGCTAGAAGACAGCAAGAGCTCCACAAGGAAAAGAAGCTGCCACAACCAGTACTTGTACTTCCCTACGTCAGAGGATTATCGGAAAGGATAAGAAGGATTGGGTCCAAGTATAACATCAGGATCTGCTTCAGATCTGGGAACACTATCCGTAGCAGCCTCATGAAGACCAGGCCACCAAACGCGGACTGCGATTCCAAGAATTGCATTTACCCGATACCCTGCGAGTGCGGAGAA